GGACTTTTACTACAAATCATCCGTTTTGGTAGCTGTCAATGAAGTATCCAAGCTGTTAGTTGTTAGTGTTTTTATGCAATCGATGAAGAATGTGTTAGGTGTTATCAAATTCCTACGCGAACAGGTCTTCCCGTAGGGATTACCTACGCAGATCACTGCAAACAAGGGATCGGTTTGTGACAACGAGATTTATGCTACATTTGCTCTTAATCTGGGTGTGCATATCCATCTGGGGACTGCTGGTCACCATGAGGGGAACAGCAGGGTTGAACGAGCGATTCGTACTCTTGAAGAATGGACGGCACCTCTCAATGAATCTGATACTTACCATGATTGGGTGGAGAACGTCTATGCAGCCGCGATGTCCTACAATGCGGCGGTAGTTCCGCAAACATGGTTTCCCCCGTTCTTTTCACACACTGGCCGTGTATATGATGGTCCCCAACGTCTTACCCTGCAGGTTGAGATCGCCAGTATGCTCATTAATGATACGAGTCTGAGTGCCTTGATTAGGGATAAGATTGCTACTTGTTTGGATGGTAGATATCGCCTTATTCAGCAGTGAGATGCTGATAAGGCACGAGTCGATACACCACAAATACCTGTTGGTACTACGGTGAGGGTCTGGAAGGACATTGGGTCGCACAAATTACGTGCCAAATGGTACTTCCCCGCCACTGTCATCTCACATGAAGGTCCGGTGCTACATCGAGTCCGTTATAAGAACAAAACGGTTACCTTGCTTCGTACATTTATTGATTTCTACCATGAGGAGAATTATGTCAACTCTGAGTTGGAAACAGCAGCACACATGCGGATTGCTGATACTATCTGTCATAGTTGTTTAGGCACTCACCGTTTGCACAATGTCCTCTTGCGGTAAAAGCTAGGTTGGCCAGGATGTTGTTGACGTCCAAGAGTGCCAAAGAATGGGACGGTCGAATGCAGTCGGTCTGGACTAAATACCAACGTCTTTGTGACAAAGCTATAGTCGATACAGATGACATGCAGTTGCAGCAAATTCCTGCTTTGTCTGCAGAGATTTAGTTGACCCCATCCTTGGTCCAGTTTTTGAAGACAACTCCAGTCTCTCCCAGTCAACTGCGTATGTGTGTACGTATGGTATTTGATGGGTTACTCAAAACAACACAAATGGACAAATGGGTATCAGAGACAGAAGACATTGCTATGGATGATGATTATGTGCAATGACTCATTGTATAAGTATTATATTTTAAAATCCTTCAGTTTTAGGAGGTACGGTGTGCAGAGCTATCAAGGTATAGTCTCGCATATTTATAATGTGATATAACAGTCATAAGTGATGTTTAATATCAAAATCAAAAAAAAACTTTTACATACCGTGTTGCATTCTATGTGCTGTTGCTCGCGCTATCAGATATCAAACTTGGCATACTGTCTTCGCTGTCTTCGAAGCCACTGTCGGTTGATGATACCTCTTGCACGCTTTGCGTAGGCTTATAATGCATGAACCATGGGCGATTTATATAGATGGGTAATTGCAGATTTCCGGTTGGTATATGTATCTCTGAATTTTGAGTTGTCATTATGTTGAACGAACGTTGCACTAAGATTTGGTGGATTCTTGCTGACAACCATCGGGGGTATACCATTGCAATTCTTGTGTATTCCATTATATTGTGTTGATGCTCTATCCTCCTGTGAATGGGGATGCTGGGTGGGGATGGCGGCAGTATACTGACATGGCTCGTATCGGGGTCTAGTATTCTATCTTGTGTGATGTTGACATCCGCTATTACACGTGAAGAACCATTTATTGTTTCATGCATAGTTTAGTAGTGGGGATGGCTTGCACTATGTACTTTGGTCGCATATATTTTATAAGATGGATGGATTCCATATTTATACGAATGTATGGGCTTATGCGAGTACCCTCCAGATTTTACTACGTGCTTTGAACACTCCATTTTGAGTGATAGTTATAAGTGACTCTGGACTCGCAGTCTGCGGTTCATTCCCGTTGGTGTAATAGGCGATATTATTTAATCATTATGGCTCATTTGTGTAAAACTTGTCTTTAGATGTTCAGGTAAGCTATGTTCAGGTAAGCTATATTTGATTTGTGATTCTTTTATGTTTTATGTCTGGGGTCAACAGCAATATCATTTTGCTGACGAGTGATCTTGTTACAAAATTTTGCAGTTCGGTACTCTTAGCATTGGTGTGTTTTTTTTTCGGCAGAGGTCCCTGTTTGCTTATATTACCTATAGGCAATACTAGCCCTCTTTTAGGACAAACCTAGTTTATCCTATTCTAGTCTTAAACCTCAATAGGAATTTTATTCCAACTGCCATGCGGCCTAAAATGGGTCCACGCGCAGCTTTATATTCCGTTCACTACAAATAGGTTTTTCACGAAATAATAAAGATTTAGTTACTAAGAAACATCTGAAGGATTAGTCTCTATAGGTTACGAGCTTTATTGACTTTTATTCTTCCTACTGAACTCACGATGCTTTCTAGCTCAACCAAACTCCCTCCCATCTCTTGGTCCATGCTCGACGAAGATGGCACCAACATTGATCACTGGATCGCTGACCTTGATATGGCATCCACGGCCACGAGTCAACATGATCTTTCTATAGTTCTTCACTACACTCCCCTTACTGAGGCTGTCAAAGAATCCTACTCAGAGATCAAACAGACACCTAAGAAGGAATGGATCCCTGCTCAAGCCGCATTTATGAAGGAATCAGATCATGTCACAAACAGTAAAGAAGCAGACACGTACTATGAAGCTAAGAATCGCATACTCGCTACAATATGCATTGCACTACGCCTAAAGCTTGCTCTACTATTCGAAATTCACACCCCTGGACAATCCTCGCTCATATAAAGCGTAGATTTAAACACCAATCGCGCAGCACCTATGCTATTATCGACGCGGCATACCTTCGCACGCTCACCCGCCTTCAAGACGAATCTCTTCGCACTTGGTCCCACCGCATCGAAGACGTCCTCCTCAGGGCCGAACTTCAAGGCACCACTTTCTCCCCGATTGTCGCTCAAAACCTCTTCATCGACGGGCTTTCCGATGTGGACAAACACCAGGTACACAATGTATACCTTATGTCTTTCAAACATAGGGACGCCATCACGATCTAACTGATACTCGACTACCTCGAGCGCCTTCATGCCACGAAGACCCCTCTCTCATCAAACGATAAAGTTATCCCTGGCATAGCCCGCACCACACCAGCTGCTGAGCCGACTATTCAGGACATCGTGCGTATGCTCCATGACATGAAAGCATCGACTTCAAACACCAACAATCAGACAATGTTCTGCTTCATGTGTCAGAAAACCACACATGTCTCCTCGCTATGCTCAAAAGCCTGTGGCCGATGTGGTACTCCTGGCCACAACAGTCGTTCATGCACAGCCCAGGCCTTAGAATGCTCCAACTGCAACAAGAAAGGACATCTTGCTATTGTATGCTCAAAACGCAGTAATAAAAAAAATTTCGATATACTGTTGTAATCACCATTGCACGTATAATCATCCCTACTGTGTGCAAAACTACACACTCCTCAAACTCCAACAACGACTCCTTACTAGTGACCGGCGGCGCAACTGTCAAATACATGCATAGTTCGGCACGTCACCTCCTCCACAACGTAGAAACTGGCATTTTCCCGTTGCGCCTTGCCGACAACCGCATAAAAAACCGTTCGCGAAACACTACCCCAACTTGGAAAAACATAACTCGACCCAGAGCTCACCCAAGGGCTTATTGCCCTGAACAATTTACAAGATTGCGGTTTCACTCTTCAATTCCCCGGTGACAGAAATGAATGCTTCCTCAGCCTCCATTCCTCCACGATCACCCTTCCTAGGACTTTTGTCGGCTACTATATCTCTTATCCTTCCCTCCAAAAACCACTTTCTCCCCCCATCGTACGATTACTTTTGGAGCCAGACAATCACACTAAAACACTGACAAAACACCGTGCACCCCTACTGCCCAACCCAGCCCCACAACCACGCAATCCCCCACCAACACACACAGCAGCCACACTCACTCATACCTTGCCCACACCTGTGCCACCATTACAGGGCGTAACACCTATTCCCACTCACACTCCTCCCAATCAAGAGCCACCTAATCCGGCCACCACAGCACATACATCGCCATCTCATCCGGCCCCAGAGACTCTTCTAATGAGGTCCAACACACTAACAACCCCAAAACGCACCCCATTTCATCTACCACTAAAGAACCTCACACCACCATGACTTACGACGCCTACCACAGAGCTTCTGGCCATCGCAGCCGCCACGTGACATTACGTATGGCCAAACACGGGAACGTCACATTAACTAATCCCCCTCCATTCCATTTTCACACCGAGGAGTGGATGTTTAATTTACAACTTCTCCAGGCAGTACTTCAATTTTTAGGAGTTTCTCCCACTCTAGACTTGTGTGCATCAAAGACTACAGCTCAATTCCCCCATTAAGTGTCCCCTGAAGGGGGAGGTATTGTACTCGACTGGTCGGATAATGATCTGCTTACAGAACTGGCATACGCCTGCCCCCCTTGGTTCCTGATTACAGATATCATAGCGGCCAACACAAAAGCTTCCAGCACACTTGTCCTAGTCGCCCCGCTTCGTCCAGTTGCCCCTTGGTGGCCTGCTCTTTTAGCGCATCTCCAGAGTCAGCCTTTTATAATACAAAACACAGCTACCACCCTCTCTCGCCATGGGTCTCAAACGATCGGCAAGCCTTCTTGGGCATTTACAATTGTTGCCCTACTCTGACCTATTCACTCACACGTCTCGCCAGCTCGCGACCTTAACCTCGCTATTACCTATGCTCAAGCGAACCAGAATTCCCAAATAATTGTCATACTTGTCTTGAGGGCAAGCTCAAGGCAGCGAACATACCACATCAACAGACCAATACGGTGTATGGACCAGGGGAACGGTTCCACACCGATCTCCAGGGTCCTGTGCCACCCAGTCGCTACAACAACAAATATTTTTTAAACATATTTGATGCCAGCACACGCTATGGCCTTCACAAAGCAATACCCGATAAACAAAACATGTTTGTTAATATTGATCGCCTACTTACAACTGCCCCAGCATTCCGGGTTCCCGACACTTTAACTGCCGATAATGACAAGTCCTTCCACAGTCAAAATATGAAGGATATGCTTCTAGCACGCCGTATGCAGCTTCGACGCCCCCCTCCTTATTCCCCATCACAGAACGCTAAGGTCGAGCGTCCTCACCATTAAACGGCCTCATATGTCTCCTTCTTATCGACTCCGGTATGCCTCGTACTGGCTGGGAAAATGCCCTTCTCTGGCAGGCGATATACGTAACAGAACTTTGGGCGAAAATGATAAACTCCGTACCCCCGCACAAATCTTCTTACAGGAGGACCATCCTTTGGATGCGTAGTCATGTTTAAACTACGCGGACAAACCGCCGCTCGTACTCCTAAACACGATCCTCAGGTTGGCTTCGGTGTCCTTCTAGGCCGGAGTTCCAATACCACCCCTTACTGCTACCGCGTCCAGAATTTCGCTACACAGCGCCAGATATTCCTTACGGAAGAGATTGCCCAATGGTCGTCTGACGGCCGCATTGCCACATATTCTTCTACCCCCAGCTTCTACAACATACCTCCTGACTGGTTCCTCCCCACCAGCTCCCCAGACACTATCGTGCCCTTCCAAGGCCACATTCCTCCTGTCGGTCGACTAATGTCAGACGTCCTACAGTCAAATCTCCCTGCTGAACCACAGGCTTGCACAACGCCCACCTCCTATCCCACCTCCTACGCGGTGTTCTTTGTGTGCTTTGGCGTTCATATGGCCGTGTTCTACTTTCTACTCAAATCGCACACTGAAGAAGACGTCAGGCGATACATGAATCCCCTCGAGATTGGCGGTTCCCAACCAGATGTCGTGTGGGGAGATTTCAACTTCAAAGCCCGGAAGTATGGCCACGCATCTACAAATCACGGACTACGTATGAAAACGATTGAGACTACTCTGCGTAAGACGTGGCACTTGGACTACCTCTATGCTGGCGGCTCAACTGGGACTGAACATGCGTATCATCGGCCTACCACGCCCCCCTCCCTCCAAACTTATAAGCTGACGGACTACAGTATCTGAGGTGACCACACCTTTGGACTTGATCTCCAGATACTTCCCACGAATCAAATCCATCGGCCCCAACAAATGCCAGCAATGCCGCCGCCTCCGGACCAACGCCTTCCCTCCCATGGATATAACCGATATCTCCATCGACTGTATCACCTACGCAACAAATCCGGCGCGCGACTATTCCAAGCCGAAATCCGGGCGCACCAGAACCTACTACGGTCGTATCTTACTTTACATGGACCAGCGGAAGGGCTGCTACGAATCCTCGACCGCATCTGGCGCTATGCCACTAACCCACAAATCTTTAGAGGGTTCCATTATGACTTAAACAGACCTTGGG